GTGTGTGAGAACAAAGTAAGTTAATAATAACAAAAAGATACAAGCTTTTATATGATTACAAGGAATATGAAAGGTTCTATTTTAACTGTTTTGCTGTTGCGGTTCGATACAGTGCCGACTCGGGTAACTGCTCTGTAACGAGTCAGTTATATGTCCTTGCTGTCGCACTGTACATTTCGTCAGGTCAAAGGTCGCTGACCTTTGACTTTCGCGTAACCTCCAGCAGTTGTTCAACCTCCGAGGGTTGACTCACCGATGTTTCGATACGATCTGCTTCGCTCTTGTCTTGGTGTTTCGACACGACAGAGGCGTTTAAATCAGTTGTTTCCAACAAGGGTACCCTACCATGCGGTTACCGCTGCAGATGCTAGCTCTCACTGCAGTTTGTGCAGCTCAGCGCCAGTGGTACCCTAACTAGCCGTTAGTCAGTGCTACCGAGCAGTCAAACAACAGTGCTTCTGTGACGCAATGCACTCGTACCGTAATAAGCAGTGCTTCCTGCAACGCAGTGTCGATCAGCAGTGTCTGTCTCCACTCCAGGTATTGTTTCAGGTGCCCTAGAGGCATTTTGGATGTCAGGTTTCCCTCCTGTGCTGGGCATTCCCCATGAAAATTATTAGAAGTCTAGAATGTTCCATGCGGCTTGGGAATAAGACTCTTCACATGCTTGGGGGGCAACAACTGAAGGGGATCGCCCCAGATTGTTTTTGCATAACAGGGCCTACAGAAATTAGGTTGTGCAAGACTGTAAGCAATTTACCACCAATGACACCGGTCTTTTTTGACTGAGGCCGAGTCAATATGAGCAGCAACGAAAGTTCTATAGAGGGGTGGAATACAGACAAGTGTATACAAGCACCGATCAAAAGGTCCAAGCTGCATAACTGGGTACTCTATAAGTTCACACTCCTCCCACCAGCAGGACTTGATCCCACGACCTCATCACATGCCTCCATCCAGCTCTCCCCTCCTCCTGATCCCCAAGCAAGGACTCCTCAATTTCACACGGGGCACAGATCCCACAGAGATCTCTGCTCCCGTCTGGAACCCCATGGACTTGAGAGCACGCGCGTAGATATCAGCATGCGAGTCGTACACACTCTGTCCTCCCCCAGGGCTGGATCCCTGCATAATCTCGTTGCACTGCTGCATCAAGCCGTCCCTTCTTGATCCCGACGGGTCCGACATGCCCCGCGTTGCCACATGATGATCTGGCACTTCTGCCACTGCTGGTGGTGGTGGTCCTGTTGGTGCAGTCGCCACAGTTACCCATGCTGTCTGATCACCTGTTGCCCTCAAAGCAGACGCCGCCAGTCCTGCTGCTGCTCCTGCTGCTGCTCCTGCGGCTGCTCCTGCTGCTGCAGCCCGTGTCACGTGCTGTTGCCGCAGGGGGGATCTGCTCCCAGTGGGGGTGACGTCGTTGCAGCTCCAATTCTTGCGAGGCATTAGAGGAGTGCTCGCACCATTCATGCTGCCACTGTTCCTCACTGGATTCGAGAAGATCGAATCCAAGGGCAGGATCCGTGGATTCAATGCCTCCCTCTTTAAACCTCCCCCATTCACGCTCCCACCATTCACGCTCCCTCCATTGAAGCCTCCCGCATTTCCAGCCGCACGGAACGCTGTGGCAAGGCACGAGGACCACACATCAGGCGACCATGCGACGTCAGGCGATGCCAGCTCAGGAGAGCACCATGCGACACCCGCGCTTCGCCTACCGGCGCGGCCCGAGGCGCTCTTACCCTCCAAGAAGGCGCCTTCAACGGCGGCGCCGCCCGTGATCGTCGTGATGACGGGAATTCCGGGTCGGAAGGGCCGCGCCCGACGACCATAGGCCGCATGATGCTCGTCGGAAACTTCAAGTTGAGATGACGAGTTTGGCGTTGGCGCGTTTGGCGCGTTTGACGACTCGTCATGCGGCTGGCCACGCGCCGCGCTACCTGATAATGTTACTCCGTGGTCGTTGCATGCAGCGTTATCACGTAATCCACAATGATTCGATGGCGCCACGATTTGCGCCGCAGCCGCCGCCGCCGCCGCCGCCGCTGAGTTAACGGCTTCCATTGTGCGACCTGCGCCCAAGATGATCTGGTAGCGTTCCGTAAACCTCCAAAAGGGATCCTCCGCGCCGCGTGCCGCTTGGACGAGAGGAGAACCTTCGTGACTCAGCCAAGCCGCGCCGGGATGACTGACGGTGGCGGGGACAAGACTTCTCGTAGTATTACCATGATGATGATAACTACCGCCAGAAGCGGTTCGTTGATCAATCTGTGGGGAACGGGTTGTGCCTGGGGCTGTTTCTCGACTCCTCCCGGCGCTGATAGTCTGTGCGACTTCCGCCAACGTCGCTACGTCGCCAGAACGCGCCGCGAAATCTGCCTCGATGTTTCTCTTTCTTATTGATGCGGCGGGTTCGGGTTCGACGTCGTGTCGACGTGGATTTGGTTTGCTACTACCGAGGACACCGAGCGAGAGTGAGAGTGTCAGATCGACATCACCATCATCGCCGTTCCGTGCGGCGTCTAATGCGGCGTTGTTCGCGGAAATTTGAGGCTCTTCGATCGAAGACAGTACAGCAGTATCGGAGCAGGGATCAGACGACCGAAGGAGAGCGTCGGATGCGGGTTCGAGTATCGCTACGCCAACGTGACGCATCCGTTTGAACGGAGGCCCGTAGGTAACGTACTTGACAGCGCAATCCATCGAGAGAAAGGAGTCACAACCGTCTGCGCACGGACGTAATAGACGAAATTTGAGGCTCTGTGCTTCTGGTGTGCAAACAAGCCAAAGGAAGATGAGATGATTCGGTGCTTGTTCGGTTGGAGCAGCAAAACGTGGGCTTTCCTGCTGAAGTTGGAAATGCTAACTGTGAAATGATGAAGATTGAAGCATTTCCAATATTCGGCGGCGACACAATGGGAACCGACATGTTCGTAGCGAAGTTTTGTGACGGGCAGGAAGTGTCATGCTTCCTGAAAATTGTTGTGATGTAGACACAGTGTGCTTTATTTATCATACTTCGCGTATAAAACTACATGCTACACGCAATAATTGATTGAATGTAGAATCCACTGACACGGTCAGGAAATCCGCGAAACCACCGCAAGCCAAGCATGGCCTAAAAGCGGAGCCCAGATCGCGACACCGTGACCCCCAAGAATTGGGATAGAATTATCGCTGCATGAGTGGCACGGTCATTGGTGAATTGCTCGTTGGCAGCAATGGTGTCAACGGTCCACCCACGCACTTGGAATGGCAGCGTTCTTGGGGTGTGACAGCATTCTGGAAATCGGAGTGACCAACTGTGGCAGTGTTTTGACCTGAGGGCCGCTGCCATCAAAGAGTGTGGTCCAATTATACACCATGTTTCTCGATATTATGGATTCCGGTAAACTGAACCCAGTGGCCCAACGCGTCGAAGGACGCGTTATAGTCAAGTTTCAGACAAGTACGTTTTGACGAGGTTGGTTACGTTTGAGAGCGCTCAAATAATTTTTTAAAATGGCTCGGTAGGGTACACAGGATAATAGAATTCTGAATCGCCCGCCTTCTAGAGACAGTTATTGGCAACTTTCCGAATACGTCCAAGGAACAGTTCAACCGTTGAGTGTGTTTCCGCAATTTATAGTAGCGCGAAACAGGGTGTACAGGCTGGCAAGCTGCGTCTGATTGATCCGCACCGCACGAGTGAAGGGAAGGGAGTGAGGTTTGTTGGTTGGAAACAAGCACGCCTGGCCTGATATTTCGCGGAGCCCAGCATAGACAAAAACGGTTGCGTCCGCTGGTGTGCATTCAATGAGGGGGCCGGCGGAGGTGATTGCGAGGCTGTGTAACGAGGTCACCCTTCCAGCCTCGCGAAAAGGGTAATCTTGTCATCTTGGGCTTGGTCTCACAACAAACGTTAGGCCATCCTGCTCAGAAACTGGTATTAATAGCCAGTGATTCTGCAAGCTAGTTGCGGGATTGGTGCCAGCACTTAGTTCGTCGACCATTCCCCTGCTCCTCATAGAAGGCCTCAACACGACAGAGGCTGGAGCATAAGGTTCTACTGTATCACTACGTTCTAAACACCTGAATATTCATGCGATCCAAGTTCTGACCTGGATGGACTTCAATACTGCAGGACAAAGGATCCCGCCAGTGCGGTTAATACAGCCGATAGCCTTTACATGCTTGCCTTTTCTATTATACATTTACTATGAGAAAGTCAACTTTCACTGTCGCCAGGAATTTAATATGGATTTGTTTGAATGACAGTCAATAACTAGACTGCATCAACTCCAAGTACGAGTTTGTGATCAACCAGCAAGAATTGTGAGCTCTATGCGAACACGGTAGGTAAAAAACATATATTGTGTTGGTGAGAGCATTATACATATTTGTTATTCACATATCTCTTGTCCCAGTAGAGAATGTTGGGGCGTTACAACATGGCTTTGAAAATGGAGTGTATCTCGATGGCTGATGGAACCAAATGCTTTCTTGACGATCCAGACCAGAATATCCAACACTATAGCTTACAGCTCAGCGACGAGGTCTGGGATCTGGAATTGGTGACGTCACGAAATAGCTGCCATCATTAGGTAGCCCATCAGTGAATTCGCGTCGCGAGGGCTACCATGGGATCTGACGAACAGACCGGACCATATACATGTACAGAAAAAAGGGTGCTCAGAACAGCTCCGCCATTATTTTTAAGAAACGCTTGTCCTCGATTCTGTACGGGCACGTATTGAGGTGTACAAAAACCAACAATGAGAGCAAATGGTCGTTGTCCATTCATGCATGGCCCATTTTAGAAATCTGGTGTTTTCTGTCAGGCTATCTCCTATGTCTCCTCGTTGGAGTTCTTTATTATGAGTCGATATATCATAAATATTCAAACAGAAGAAGAAACACAACACAACACACTGACACTAGCCCCGAATGCCAACCATCATGTGATCGGAATCATAAGGAAAGCAGAGAATTGCAAGGACCAGCCGCAGGCAGGCAGGAAATTACTGCCCTTGTCGCCTGGATAACCGGAATGACTCTCTGCTCTCACTATGATTCATTCCAACGAGCCACATGATAGCCACCACTGCGGCTGAACTGAACCTACTCAAACCACTCCCCACTACACTATTACCCACACCCACCCACCCCTTACCCCCTCCCATTCCAATCCCCAACACCTTTTCACCCCACCACAGCGCTTGCCCCCCCACATCCCCCTTCCCCATCCGCACCCTTCTCCCCCCTCTTCACCCAACACCCCCCTCACCAAGGGATTGTCGTAAGAGACTCAGTCCCAATGCAAGAACCATCTCATCTAGTTTACACTTCTCCGTCATTGCCCGTCAATATGAAATGATCACCTAGAGATCCCACAGGGTGAACTCGGATAGCTGCTGAAACGCTCCGGTGCCAGGCTCCATCCCCATCCCCATCCCCATCCCCATCCCCATCATCATCATCGCTTCATCCTGGGATGCCTCCTGCAGCAGCGATGGCATGCAGTCCAGCTCACAATCGCCATCCAGCCAGAAGGAGAATGCGGAGCGAGCAGTGGAGCCCGCGTGCGCGTCAGCCTCAGGGTCTGGGTTCCCAATGCTGCCCTCCAGAAACGACTCCAGGCTGTCCAGGCTGTCAAGTCTGTCAATGCCACCGTGACCGTCGGTGCCACCATTGCTGTCGTTGCCGTCATTGCTGTCGTTACCATCGTCGCTGCCAGAGAAGCTAGTGCAAGGCTCGGTGCTCTTCTCACTATTGCAAGGCTCGGTGCTCTTCTCACTATTGCAAGGCTCGGTGCTCTTCTCACTATTGCAAGGCTCGGTGCTCTTCTCACTACTGCAAGGCTCGGTGCTCTTCTCACTATTGCAAGGCTCGGCGCTCTTCTCACTATTGCAAGGCTCGGTGCTCTTCTCACTATTGCAAGGCTCGGTGCTCTTCTCACTGCCCGATTCACTGCTCTTCCCCCCATCCACTCCAGCAAGCAGCGGCTTCAACGCCGCTTCCAAGTCGCTCTCCTGCACCCCCACAGCACCGCACTCCACCGCTCCAGACTCCTCCTCACCATCACCAACCGGCTCCTCGATCCACTCTCCAGCAGCGAACCTCCTAGCAGCTGCCCCACCAGTCACCTCCACCATGCCTCCCTCGCCCTCCACAGCCTTCAGCACCGCTGCCAGCTCAGCAATGGCGTCCTCCGCGCCCTGCCACGTGGCGCACCCACGGGCCGCCGTCAGCAGCGCCTCGGCTGTAGCAGCCGGCATCAGCACAGGGAGCAGGGCAGGGGGGGTCTTGTCAGGCGAGCCTTCTGCTGCAGCAGCTGTAGCATCTGCAGCGGCTGTAGCGGCGGCGGGCCGGCAGGACTTCTCGTTGGTGGGCGGCGGAAAGTTGAGTTGTGCCTTGGGTCCGCGCAGCAGCCAGGCGGCCATGTCATACACGCGCGCCGCGTCCTCCCACGAGTCAAACGACCCCAGCCAGATGCGCGACCGCCGGCTCGGCTCTCGGATCTCCGTTACCCACTTGCCCCACCGCCGCTGCCGCACGCCCTTGTACGCCACCCCGCCGGCCCCAATGCTGCCCGGCACGCGCATCGCCTCCGGCGTGCCCAATGCCACATCCGCTGCCGTGATGGTTGGAGCAGAGATCTCGGACTCAGCGCTCTCCGCAGCACCGCTTCCTCCTCCTCCGCTGCCACTTCCGCCACTTCCGCCATTTGCGCCGCTGCCGCTGTCCGCAGGAGACTCGAAGCGCTCGAAGTGCTTGCTCCCTCGGTTATCGCCGCCGCGTGACTTGCGCCCACCACTCAGCGTCCGACCACTGCCACTGCCAGTGGCAGTCGCAGTCGTGACCTGCGGCTTCTCTCCTCCTACAACCGCCACCGCCACCGCCGCCGTCGTTTTGCTCCGCTTATTTCCAGCGCCTGACCCGCGCGGTCGTCCGCGGCGCCGTTTCTCCCCCAGAGGCGCGGGGCTGGCGGGAGTTCCGCTGGGAGCGGGCGCAGCAGCGCCGCCGAATCCGCAGAAAGCAGCCAGCGCGGCCGCCGCCGGCGGAGGCGCCGCGAACGGAACCCCTGGGGGCGGCAGCATGTGGAACCCCGCCGCGAATGCCGGCGGAACGGGAATTACGGGGCTCCACATGCTGCCGCCTCCTGACAGAGCAGCACCAGCAGCACCCATCGCGCCGCCGCCGCCGCCGCCGCCGCAGCTCGCGGCGCGATTATCGTCTGAAATGATATGCGGTGGTAGAAAGTAGCGGCCAGAAGCGCCTGGAAACGCATTCGACCCAGGGACAAACCCGGATACTCCGGCGTGGAAGGGTGCTGCCGCTGAAGCCGGCGACGTGCTGGCAGGCGGCCTGCCTGCCAGGCCAAGAGCGGCGGGATATGCGGCGGAATACGCGGCGTGGATTGGACGAGTGGTTGCTCCGTTGTTCACGGCGCGAGTCACTGCAGTTACAGGGGGTTGATCGCCGCGGGTCAAGTCGTCTCGGGCTCCCCGCGAACGCCGGCGGAGCTGGAGCTGCTTGCGCTTCGCCACGTGGACGGCCTGCACGAGCCCCGCTATGGCGGTCTGCGCCGACGAGATGGCCTCCTCTAATGCCGCCTCGTTGGTCCCGTCAATCGCGGCGGAAAGGGCGGAAGGCGGGGACGAATGAGCTGAATCCATTGATGAGATGTTTCGTTCGAATGGAAGGCTGATGGTAAGCTGCGGGAGGGCGGACGGGGCGGAGGGCGCGGACGGGGCGGAGGGGCCGGAAGGGTGCTTAAGGGGCGGAAGGGGCGGAAGGGGCGGAGGGAAGGATTCCCGGGATGCACGTCGACGGCTGATGGCTGATAGCCGTATGGTAGAGTGCTCAACCTTGGGTCGACGCGAGTCGGACGCGAGTCAGCGCAATGACCGCTGCTTCAAAGCACTTCCCCCGTACTAGGGCCTATTCCGCGTCTCGCACTGAAGTCCACCGAAGGCTACTAATCAACTTTGAAGCTTGACGCATTGAGCGCACTCGAGCGAGTAGTATTGTTCGGCGATGGACGTCATATGATATACTCTTACGTAGATTCGACGATCACATTGCGTCAACAGGTTAGTAGGGGGTAGGTCCCATCGTCAGTACCCGTTAGCGCGCGCCCGGCTCAGCCAATGAAAGGCTAGCTTTGCGTCACGCACGATCGACGAAGCGAATGAGAAGCGAGACGGAAACCTAGGGAGGGTACATCTGCGCAGAAGAGGAAGTACCGAGAGGGGATTCAAGGGCGGGCGGATCTACCGGGAGCGCGTGAGGCGCATTTGCGGGGAAGAGCAGGTGCTAACTGCCGCAGCTGGTTCTCGCAGGTTCTGCTTTGGCATCGTACGAGGACGCGACCGGGGATTGAGTGGACGGAAACACGGCGCTTAGATCCTAAGCGCGCGGGGAGGGGAAGTACCCTTCGGGATTCCGTCTTGCCGTGCTGTCTTGGTTTGCGGAGGAGGGGAGACCTGAACCAACGGATTCTTTACAGGCGGGCGGGCGAGCATTCTTCCATCAGTCGAGTCGATCCGCCAAGGCGAGCGGCGGAGCGCGAATCTGCGTCTTCTTCCCCCCGATCCTGACGGGTCATCGGAACACCGCAGCGCCAGGCGCTACAGCAAATGATTACGCCTCTGCGGAGACAGCTGTTAGCTGGGATGGAGCCAAAAGAGTTGGATCCTGGATGCCAAACATAGCTGTACATGTAAGCAGCCATGCTCTGCCTCCGTTGCTCGACCTATTTCTCGCCTCCTTCTCCCGCATCGTGTGTCTCTGCGCTCCAGCTTCTGGATCAAGCCAGGTTATGTGTGGAACATGCTTTGTGCGTAAGGTTTGCGTTGCGAGTGAAGGTTGGACTCCCAATTTCAACGCACTTTTTCCGGATCCAAGAGCTTGGGTTGGAAGCTGAATAATCTGAGCCAAGGATAAACGTAATTAGATCCCCGCTTACATTCCTCCTTGCGGTTTCTTACGAACAAAACCAGCTGTCAGGGTTGTTTTTAACGAGAACCTGACATACGTTTTTTGGCGGGGGATCGGTTTCCCCTACCCGCCGCGTAGTTCCCCCCTTCGTCGCCCCTCCCTTGCACCCTTCGCAAATTATCCCGCCTCTTCTCCTGAATGATACACGCGCAACATCCGCGAAGTCCCTTCCCGCACCAGACGAAGCCAAGTTGCGGGGGGGCTAACTGGCTGCCCAGCCCCGGCGTGGCAGCCACCAGCTGGCACTCAGCTCGTGGATTTCTCGTGTTGAGCGTGCGGGGTGCGAGCTGGACGCAGGGGGCACGCACAGTGCTCGAAGAAGGTGCGGCATTTCGATCAGGAAGTCCCTTGGAATGCTGAGAGAACCTTCCGTTCAAGCTGGTCGTGCAAGCTTTGGGGGCAGATAGTGCTGTACTGTGTAGCATGCTAAACACCTTCCCTCCACACGGAATTGCTGCATGGTTGGAATCAAACGGTGTGCAATTCTTTTCCCACTCGTACAATCCGTACACGCGGGCATGTGAAAATACTTGGCTGAGTGAATTCCGTTGAACTTCACAGGCTTCCGTTGCTGCGCTGGGGGAAACAAATCTGAAGGCACGCTTTTTGGATCTTCTCATCTGGGCAGACGTGTTGAAACGTCGAGTAGGTTCATCTGGCTTGTGAGCCAAGCTGGAAACGTTTGGTCGCCACGTGGAATCCTCTTGAGGGTCGCGGAAATTCAACGAACCAGTTTACTACAATATAGAGACGGTAAAACTCATATCCTTTCGTTCATGCCATGCATATTGTTGAACTGAGAAAGTCCTTGGGATATTTTAGAGCTTAGTCTCTGTAACGTATTGCAGCGGAAGACTTTAATTCCTGTGCTGGTAGATTGTGAGAACAAAATTTGAATCATAAAGAAAATATACAAGAGATTCATAGTCTAGGAAGTACCTATTCGGAGATGTACCTGTTCATGAAACGAGCTAATATATCGAGTCGACTCTACGAAGAGGTATAATCCAGTGTCAGGCGAACATTCACGAGACTTTTCGCACTACTGCCTGTAACTCACGTAAGGGGATACCTGCTACAGTAACATGCATATATGATGTACTATGATACTACTGTAGTTTTGTACTTATAAAACTACTGAATTGCAGAAGTCAAAATTTCTTTGTCCAACACATATAATGTGCTTTCTCGAGTTCACATTTGATGAAACTTTTATGCAGCGAAACTGCAACCAGTAACATAACGTGTTGCACTGCTTCTACAACGCTAGCCAGAGTGCAATACTGTGGTCTTATAACCTGGCACGAGCATGCTTAGCTCATCCACTGACACTACCACAATCACCAAACCTCAGATACCACCAGATAGCACAATCGAAAGCAACTAGCCTAGGTAACAGAATTTGCAGGGTCAACTACTGCCCCGTCCTACAGCTGGTTGCGCAGACGGCGAAGCAGCACAGAGACATCACTTGCATGGTCGGCTGAGTACCGCTCAAACCGGCGGCGAATAGGGGCTGGAGGAGGGGCAGGCTGCCCCGCAGGCACATTGAGGTAGGTGTGGAACAGCGCGTGCCACATGTCATGGTTCCAGTACCTGCCAGCCAGCCATCCATGGCAGAGAGCAGCAAGCGAGAGAGCAGAGGCATGAACACACAAAGTGAGATAATAGCGGCTGGAGGAGGGGCAGGCTGGCCACGTTGAGGTAGGTTAGGTGTGGAACAGCGCATGCCACATGTCATTGTTCCAGTACCTGCCGGCCAGCCATCCATGACAGAGAGCAGTGAGAGAGCAGTGGCATGAACACACAAAGTGAGATAATAGCGGCTGGCGGAGGGGCAGGCTGGGCACATTGAGGTGGGTGTGGAACAGCACTCCACATGTCATGGTTTCAGTACCTGCCAGCCAGCCATGGCTGTAAGTGAGAGAGCACTGGTACAAACACACAGGAGGAATCCACCAGGCTCCTCGAAAACATCCCAAGGGCAACTGACGAGAGGGGGAATCCACGCAAGCGGGATTTCAGGCTGACCTCTTAAGGTGGAGCCTTGGGCGGCGAAAGTAAGAAACATTCTCCTCCTCAGAGCTAGCAGCCGTGTCGTCATCACAACCGTCCACATCCGCTGCTCCACTGGCGCCGCCCTCCCCTGCTGGCACCCTCTCTACCTCCATATACTGCCCATGCAGCAGACAGTAGGCCGTTGCACATACCGCATAGAGATCGGCCTGGATAGGAGCGGCATGGTAAGGCATGGTACAGGAAGGAAAGGAGCGACATAGAAAGGTGTGGGCAGAGAGAGTAGGCCGTGGCACACACTGTAAATAGATTGGCCTGGATAGGAGTGGCACTGGAAGGCATGGGACAGTAAAGGTGTGGGTATAGGTAAAGGCGCAGAGTGCGTAGGGACGAGTGTAGAGTGAGTGTGCTCAACACATCAACACTGTACCCCACACTTGATCAACACCATGTCACACAGGTGCCGCAGCATACCACACACAAATCAACACCATACCACACTGTACGACACAGCTACCACACTGTACCACACAGGCACCACACTATACCACACAGGTAGCACTTCGCACCACACTCTTGCCACACCTGGGTGGTCCACGGTCGCCCCTCCACCATCTCAGGGCACCGGAAGTTGCAAACCACACCATACCACACCATACCACACCATACCACACCATACCACACTGTGCCATACCTGTGCGGTCCACGGGCGCCCCTCCACCATCTCAGGGCACCGGAAGTTCTCCGTGCCGCCGTCAGAGACAAACGAGGAACCTTCGGGGAACTGCCGCATGTCAATGCTGCGCCCGTAATCCACCAGCGTGAGGCCCTGAAGGAGTGGGGAGGAGTAGGGTTTGGTGAAGAGAAGTGGAGGATGGGGGAAGGATGGATGGATGGATGACGAGGATGGCCTAATGGATGAGGGAAGGACGGACTACGAACGGGGTGGCTGAGACAGCGGACAGGGGATAGCTGCCGGGAAGAGGGGATGTTTGGTGGCAGGAGCAAACAGAATACAGAGTTAGAAACTATTTATGACAACAAGAAATCATTTACGAGTGAGATTGAAAGTTGAGTAAGCACAAGTCGTACCGTGGAAGGTGCACCGGCCTCGATCGCAGCAACCATCTCCTTGGGGTTCTCACTGTCAGCCCTGCAATGGAAACCCACCCGACAGTAAGATCAAGGCACAATCAGAACAAGGAAACAATGAGGCAGCATACCCTTGAGACGCCCTAGAAAGTGTCTTGCGATTGGAAAAAGATCGAAGCACACAGAACAATGAAATCATCAAGATGTTGCAGCAAGCCGCAAGCAGCACACAGCAACACGTACCCGAACCGCAGGAGGAAATTATCGGGCTTGATATCCCCATGCAGGATGTGCGCAGCGTGGAGGGCTTCCACGGCTCGCAGCATCTGCGCCGTGTAGAACGCGCACAGCGGCTCCGGCACCGGCTTTCCCTGCCTCTTAAACGCATTCACCACGTCCTGCGGGGGGGGGGGGAGAAGGTTGGCGGGGATGAGCGGTGAGAGCATGGGAATGGGTGCGTGTAGAAGGCACACAGGGGCTCCGGCACCGGCTTTCCCTGCCTCTTGAACACATTCACCGCGTCCTGAGGAGGGTGGTAGCGAGGATGAGAGGTGAGAGAGTGAGAGTGGGTACAGTATAAGGTAGCTGCATAGCGGCTCTGGCCCTGGCTTGCGCTGCTTTGAGACGTCTCAACACTGGCTTGCGTTGCTTCTTGAACGTGCTCGCCTCGTCCTGAGAGGGACGTGGATGAGAGGATTTTGTATAGATGGCTATTGAGTGCATTCATCATGACCTGAGGAGGAGTGCAAAAGAAAAACGAGAGGTGAGAAAGTGGGGACGGAAGCGTTGGCAGTGTGCTCGTGCATGTATGCGAGTGTGCGAACGCATGTGTGTGTACCTGTGAGCCCATGCGCGCACATGCACGCACATCCCAGCATACCTGCAGGGTGCCGCTGGCGCCAAGGGAGCATGTGAGGATGGAGGCGTTGGGAAAGTCGTGGTAGGCTGACGCTGTGCCAAACAGTTGCCGCTGGTGGCAGGGCAAGGAAAGTGGGGGAGAGAGGAAAGGGTAGGGAAAGGTGAGAGGGGGGGAATCCGAAGGGGAGTACTGAGGGCAGGGGATAGAATAGTGAAGGTCAAAGGCAGAGGTGAGGGAGGTGAGAAGGGAGGGCGGTTCAGGGTAGAAGGGAGGATGGGTAAAGGCAAGTGGCGGTAAGGAGACGAGCAAGTCGCATGGATAACAGTGGGCGTGTGAAGGGCTCTAGGCACGATGGTGGGAGAACTAGCATGAGGCAGGGACACAGCCTGGAGGCAAGGAGGCATGGAGGCATGGAGGCATGGAGGCATGGAGGCATGGAGGCATGGAGGCATGGAGGCATGGAGGCATGGAGGCATGGAGGCAGCGCCAACAGGAACCAAGTGATGCGATGATGGATGAATGGAGGCAAAAAGTGAATGAAGGAATGAAGGCCCAAAGTGACCAAAAGAGCAATCGCTTAGGCACCTGTGGGCCGTCGATTCGCAGGTGCATCTGACGGTAGATGTAGAACTCCCAGGGGCATGGCTTGGAGTGAAGCTGCGATTGAAAGAATGGACGAGACATGGGGCAGGTCAGCGAAATGCGTTCACAATCACTCAAGAGTCTTCGTATGATAGATGGACGAACCGCGTTCGCAATCAGTCGAGTCGATTCACAGGGGGGATGTGACGACCTCACAACAACCTGAGAACCTGATGTGCCAAAAGAAAAGAAAAAAACGATCTCTGTCATCTACCAAACGCATTCACGACCCAACTTCCTGCATCACCCGGTCCCCTGCATCACCCGGTCCCCTGCCATATATATACAGAAACGCGAGAATGAGACCGGTACCTTGAGGGCCACACTGCGGAACACCACAGTGCTCTCTGTGGCCGCGTCTGCCACTCCAACAGGGGTCTCCGTGGCTCCATACACCCTCGCGTATGCACCCTTGCCCAGCAGCTGATCCACCTCATAGCTCTTGCTGCCTGCAGAATGGAGTGGGGGAGGGAGGTGCAGAGCAGGTGGGGAGGGAGGCGCAACCAGAGCAGGGAGACGGTTGGCACGTAGCTAGGAAAAGGAGAGGTGGAAGAATGGCAGCAAGCAGTCAGGCAGAGGGAGAGGAGGGAGCATAGTGGCAACAAGCAGGCAGGCAGAGGGGGAGGAATGAGCATGGCAGGAGGGGGTGGGGTACGTACCAAGGCGGAGGTCCACAGGCTCTCCTGCCTTGCCCTCCCTGAGCGCCTTGAGCCTGGCTGGCACATGCAGCGGCTCTGAGTGCCGGTGGTATCCCTGCGTGGTTGAGGAAGGTAGGGGGTGGAAAGGAGGGGAGGGGGTGGAAAGGAGGGGAGGGGAAGAGGGGGATACATTTACAGCCGGCTGGCACGTGCAGCGGGTCTGACTGCCTGTGGTAGCCGTGGAGAGGAGCAGGGGAAGGGGAGAGGGAGGGACGAGGGTGAGTGAGGCCATGTGATGAGAAGCAGGTTCCTGCAGGTCAACGCAGTGATGTGCCATGTGATGACAAGCAGGCTCTCGATCCAGCTCGCAAGACAACCCCAAAGTCAACCCTGAGCATGCTTTGGAGGCTGGGAACGGGCTGGACTCACGGGTTCCGCAGTGAGGGGAGGGTGCAGAGCGGCGAGGAGAGACGCCCTGAGAGACTTCAGAGCCGCAAGAAACGCAACTCACAAAGCCACCCCAGAAATGCATGAAGGCGAGGAATCGATGGACTCACAGGTTCCGCAGTGAGGGGAGGGTGCAGAGCGGCGAGGAGAGACGCCCTCAGAGACTGGCTCCATGGGTTAACCTGCTGGGGCGGGCCGGCTGGGAAGGCGGGCGCCTGTGGCATGCACAGAGCGGCACAGACGCATCGGGTTCTGTTCACCTTGTGTATGTCATGAAATGATATGATATGATATGATATGATATGATATGATATGATATGCTATGATATCATATCATATGATATGACATCGTATGTCATGGTATGGTATGAAATGACATGGTTTGTCTGAGTGTGATATGCTACGACATGGTACGACACGGTATGATACGGTATGATATGGTCTGATATGGTGACTCACCCTGGAATGCTGGGGAAAGCGCCGGCAGACCACAGTGGGGTCATCCTGTGGACGAGGGTTCAAAGCAAGGAGCAAGTGTTCAGAACAAGGAGGCAACAGTTTTGATCCGTTACTTTAATCCTTGGAAATCTCGTACGGAGTCATGGGTGCATGCGCATGAAGGGACGCATGTGCTTAAAAAACGGATTGTAATACGGAATCAGATATAGCAACCAAGCCTCTTGGGTCACGAGCAGTATCAGAACAGCTCCAGCGGATCCAGAGAGGCAGCAACCCCCTCACTTGCACAGCACCGTGGGGATCAAAGCAGAAAAGGAGAAAAGCAAACGGCGATGCAATGCTCACCTGTGCATGCACCGTGTGATCAAAGGAGAGAAAATCCTCATCCACCCTTCCGCCACGACCAGCAGCAACACCAGAAGCACCAACACCACCAGCAGCATCAGCCCCACCAGCAGCCGCATCCTGTCCTCTCTGCTGTTCCAGCATCTGTCTAAACCCCTGCACTCTCTCCTCCTCCATACCTAGCTCACTCAACCCCCCAGTAAGCCCACTCCCCTCCACTTCCTCCTCCCCCTTACTCCCCCTCTTCCTCCTCCCACGATTGCCCGCGCCCCTCTCGCCCCCCTCCGCCTCCCCTCCCCTTCCTCCCCCCTCAGCAACCGCACTTGACTGCTCACAACCCCCCCTCCCTGCGTCCTCCCCAGTCGTCTCTTCCCCTGCGTCCTCTCCCCGTCTCGCTTCCCCTGTACCCTCCCCTCCATGCCTGTCACTCCCTGCCTCTGCTCTATCAGATGCAGCTAATGAGCAGTCTGGCGGGCCATCTGCCATTGAAGGCCCTGGGTTTGCTGTGGGATTTGGCGGTGCATTCAAGGTTGAGAGCGGTGTGGCGTGCATGTAGAGCGGTGGGGGCAGGTTCCTGTGGCGCAGCCAGTAGAGATAGCGCTGCTCCTCGAAGCAAGTCTCCTGCTCCTGGCAGGGCCCTGGGGGGAGGGCACGGAGCAAGTTCAGAGACGTTTCAGATAAGGTATTAAAGTGAGCGCAAGGAAGCATGAGGTGAGCATTAAGAGAGTTCGGGTTAAAGGTAGTGCTGCTCTTCCAAGCCCGTCTCCTGCTCCTGGGATGGCCCTGGGGGGAAATCACGGAGAGAGCCTTAGGAGTGCTGAGATGGATGAGGGAGTGACGCTGTGGGATGTGAAGCCGCAGGTGGCGAAAAATCAAACAGCAGCGAGCGATCAAGCTCGGACAAAGGAACTGTGCTAGAACAGCGGCAGCGAGAAATCAACGGGGAACAAATGAATTGACCTGCTCTACCTGTGTTTGAAGCACCTGCTGCTTCAGACGAGTCTGTTATTTGAGAATTCTAAAAAAACAGACTCGGAATAAACTGACCTGCGCTACCTGTGTTTGAAGCATCTGCTACTTCAGACGAGCCCCGACGAGACCCCACCTCGCTCTGCTCTCTGCACGGACAACAGCAGGGAGGGAGTAGGATTACAGACGAGCGAACGACAAAGGAACCAAAGTAAATGCACCCAGACGCTACGCAAAACGCCTGATCCTCCCTGGTCACCCCATCCACACTCCTCCTTCAGACCACACACCTCCACCCTTGCCTGTTGGCACCTCCACAGAGGCACCTCAGAAGCAGACCCCATTGCTCACCTTTCCTGTGCCACCTCTGCATGCCCCTCTTGACCCCCCTGCACCTCCACCCGCGGCTGCAGCACCCTCCTCTTTGGCCCGCCTCCCCCCAGCCCCCTGCGCATCCTCCCCGCAGCCGAAGGGCTGTTGAGAGGGAGAACAGGGACATGACAGCAGTCAGTCAGACACATTCCTTCTTTAGGCGTCTCTGTGATACTTTACTCTTTGCCCCGCCTCCCCCCACCCCCCTGCGCATCCTACTCGCAGCCGAAGGGCTGTTGAGAGTGGGAACGGAGATAGGGGGGGACACCATTAGCAGCAGCAGACAGTGGTGACACGGACAGCGGCAGACAGGCCAACACACTCTCTTGCCTTCTGACCAGCTGGTGATGTTGTCAAAAGGCCACCATCCAGAGCTGCAGTTAGTCTAATACGTTCTCTAGGCCCCTCAGAAGTCGTTTCTCTAGGCCCCTCAGAAGTCGTTTCTCTAGGCCCGCCACCTCATGTACAGCACAGCACAGTGTGCCATGATTCGTGCCTTGGTCGAGTCGAGCCCATCCAGATAAGGACGTGGCTTTCTTGTGAGTGGTTCTTGTAACGTGTTACCCTGTTACGCCCATCCCACACAGCTCGTCACCCCTCCACATTGCACACCTCTTTCACCTCTCTACCTCTCTCTGTTACGCACCTCTGCAGCTCCTCATCCACGAAAATGTCAAGGCTGATCTCCAACCCTGAGTGCAGTGGTAGTTGCGCCCATACACGAACGACCTTTAAGGGCTCGCACAGGTGGTTACCCTGTTACCTCCATCATCGTACGCACCTCCGCAGCTCCTCATCCACGAAAATGTCAAGGCTGATCTCCGACCCCGAGTGCAGTGGTTGTGCCCATACAGTGGTGGTTACCCTGCTGCCTCACCCTGTATGCACCTCCTCAGCTCCTCATCCACGAAGACGTCAAGGCTGATCCTCGTCAGGCTGATCCTCGTCAGGCTGATCCTCGTCAGGCTGATCCTCAATCCCGAGTGCAGAGTCCCAAAACCCCGACCTGACGTTATGCACCTCCTCTCCTCTGCAGGGTATGCACCTCTTTCACCTCCCGAAATTCCCCCTCCTCAGCCCCTCATCTCTCCATTCCTCACCTCTCCCTGCCACACACCTCCGCAGCTCCTCATCCACGAAAATGTCAAGGCTGATCCCCGACCCATTGTGCAGTGGTTGTGCCCATTCACGAACGGTCATTCAGGACTTGCTTTGTTACCATGTTACCTCAACCTCACGCACCTCCGCAGCTCCTCATCCTCGAAGATGTCAAGGCTGATCGTCCCCGAGTCAGAGTCCCTCCTCAGCCGTTGTCACTCATGGTGGAAGGGCAGCAGTACTAGTGAAACGCTTTAGCAAGTAAAGAAAAGGAGTAAAAAATTCCCTAGCTAAGAGAACTCTGATCTCAACCTCACGCACCTCCGCAGCTCCTCATCCTGGAAGATGTCAATGCTGATCGTCCCCGAGTCAGAGTCCCTCCTCGCCCGCTTGAATGCCTGCAACAACGCACACAACAGCTACGCCTGCCTGAGCCTGGAATGCCAGAGCAGAAAAGAAATAGCTGAGCCTGAGATACCCCAGCCAGTACCAGGTTTCCCAGTAAGCCCCCCTGTAAGACATGGGCGGATATATTCTGGTCAGCAATGCACCCGTCAAAGTGCTGATAATCACACCTGGCATGTGAGTAGCGCACCTGAGACCTGTCCCATTCAGACAGCGGAGGGACGTTCTCGTCATGCGGCCCAGTGGTGGTATCAGCACCCATTTGCTTTTGAGACGTCTCAAAACTAGTGGTGGTATCAGCACCCATTTGCTGCGAGCCACGCCGACCGTCCCTGCCATTGTTGCTGCCGTCCCCAGTCAAAGCACCACCCTCCACAACACCACCTCCCACAGCACGATCCTCCTCGAGCGGCGCCCTGCAGCAGCAAGCATAAGGGACACATCATCAGCATCATCATCATAAGGGACCATGCCGGACCTCCAGGCTGCAGCAACAATGCAGAGCCCCATGTATGAAGTCCGGTTTCATTTCATTGCGGCCAGTGGGAGTCACCAACCGGACATCAGCTTGTGGGAGACAGACACCGACAGACACCTACAGGAAGTCAGCAAGTGGGACCCACGAACCTTGCTGCCAACCTCGCTTCTTGAGGCAAGCCCACTGGCCGCTCTGGCTCTCCACCCACGGCTGCTGCTGGCTCATCTGCCCAAGGAACCAATCAGGCCACAGCATTACACAGTCAGTCAGTCAACTCCAAGAATGGATAAAAGAAAGAAACACGAGCTACAAAGTGACGGGGAAGGTACCTGCTGATGGGTTAGCTCGTGCCAACAAGCCGATCCTGGATGCTTGGTTCTGATTCGCTCCCTCTCTTCCACTGACTGACCTCGAATGCTCTTGTTCCTTCTGCACACGCACACCACCGTGACAGACGGTGGGACACGCCCACCCCACGTCGTTTAAGTGAGAAGACTTTGAGTGACCAACGCGTTGAGAGTCCTACCCCACGTCTTTTCTGGCAAGGTGATCCTCAAGGCATTGCCAGCAGAGCAATTCTACTCGAGAGAGCAAGGCCGCGCAGTGCTGCCTCGGATATGAGAAGCCTCGGAATATACACATACCCGCTGCTGCTTGCGCAGACTCTCCTCGGCCATTCAATCACGAAATTTTTTAGAATTCTTAGAAGTGACGCTCAAAAGGGAATTCTCGAAAGTCACACCCAAATAAATAATTTTCAAAAGAGAAGCCTCTCAACATACACATACCCGCTGCTGCTTGCGCAGACTCCGCTTGGCCATTCGTTTACGAAACCCGTCGTACGCCTTTTGGAGCAGCTCCTGAGACTTTTCCTCGATGCACCTACAGATATTGGGGGGGAAGGGAAGGGGAAAGGGGGGGAGGCGGGAGGGAGGAATGGAAGCCGTGGAGAGATGCTGGCATCGTTTGACCAAGGGATGTTAACGAAACACTTCTGACGCATTCCTTGGACATAACGAAACCTCTCCTGCACTGCACTGCCCACTGCACCTACCATCTAAAGACCTTGAGAACTTCAAATCATAACGTCGCAACAAAACTCGCCCTCTTTCTTCCACCTGGACTCCGTCTCGTGCATGCTCTGAGACGCACGAGACGTGCTCACCTCTCGAGGCCTCTCCTCTCCCGTAGACCTCGGTGGCCTGTCCAAAGTCATTCATGCTTCCTCTCCAGAACCTAATTGTGAGGCGCCTACGATATCGCTTGAGACGCGCTCACCTCTTGAGACCTTTCCCGTAGACCGCGTTAGCCTGCTTAAATTCATGCAAATGCTCCAGAACCGAGGCTAGTCCTTCGTAATACAGATTGTGGCCCAACCCGATGCCCTCTTCCGTCAGAAGGGAAAAGACCTTGAGAGGCTCCCCTGTTAGGCCCGCCTGCGAGAACACCAAGAACAGGAGAGAGGGCACGCGAATAGTCACCACAAGGGATTTGAATTCTTAATTGACACCTGACGAAACCGTGACTGTTGGGTTGAAAGGCGGAAGAGGGACGAGCTACATACATATCCGTACCCTACTTGCGTAATGAATACATCTATCCAGGCTTACTTACATACTGAATCCATATCCGTAGCCTTAAAAGATATTGAAGCCATATCCGTATCGTTACTTACATATCGAATCCATATCCGTAGGTACCGAATATCGTTCTTGTACTCCTCGCGCCTCAGAAAGGTATCAGCGCAGCTTTTGAGAATGTCGAACAGCTCCGAATTATCTCCGCTCGTTTCTGACGAAGAAATTTCCAACTTAATGTACCTGCATACGTAGGAAAACGACTTTAAGCAAATGTAACTTCTGCGAAGAAAAGCGAAGAAACCGCGGGTGCGTCTAGTGCTGAAAAACGACGAAAACTAAATGTAGTTGATAGTTCCTCTGGTTTCTAACCTGTCCCACGGATCTAAAGGATCGTCGCCGTTGTAATTCCTGATCTCCTCGAGGAGCGACCTGCAACCAGGTCACGTGATTTTTTAATAACGAGCATTTGCGTCTCATCAGATTCCTACGACAAACGACGAGGCGAAACTTCCGCGAAGAGCATCTTGTGCGAGGTGTCCTAACCTTTTTTCGCTCTCATAGTCCTCCTCGATGTCGCCGCTGTTGACATCTAGGGCCTCTTTCGCGGCGGCGTCCCTGGTTCGTGGCTCGATGTTCTCTTTCGCAGCGTCCCTGGTTCGTGGCCCGATGTTCTCCTTCGCGAGCTGCCAAACCATGCCGAATCTAGAAATCAACTATGTTACGCCGGGAGTATCGTCGAGTGGTAGTACGACAAGCTCTAAGTCGGGAATATAAAAAAAGCTATAATAGACGCACCACAAGTAGACGGGATCTACTAGTACCCGCCAGGCAGGAATCTAGACGCTAATTTCGATGAACTAACAAACTAACGTGTGTCGTAGTACGATCAACAGCTACCATATAAGAAATGGCAACTAAGCCTACATCGACTAAAAAGGGACTCGTACTTTTCAGGAACGAACTAATTTTCAAAAGCCGAAACTGCCTGGAGACAACTTCAAGTCAAACGAACCAAGCCTCCAGCTTGTCAGAGAGTTGGGTGGGACGAGGGAGTTGCCAAGGGGTGGCTGGCAGGTTTTACGCTTGTGCTGGTTGTGACAATGAAGGGGGGAGGTGTTCCTACTTTGTGAGTCTAGAGAGGGAATGAGTTCAGCGCACCGCGTAAATTCAAATTTCGCGCCTATTTGTGTCAGGAGGTTGGCCAGTCGAAGTCAGGTGATAAACCTCGATATCGCTCACATTCGTTATTACTATGAGTACCATCCAAAGACAAATTGTTATCATATCAAGTAGGTGGGTCAACGCATCAACTAGATACTAAGTAATAGCAATTTGAGTTCATGTTAACATGGTATTTTATCAATATTTAATTATCTATTAATAGTACAGCACACTCAGAAAGTGCGCACTTGCTATATCATAAGGCCTTGATATATAGAACATGTACGTTAATTACAAAATCAAGAAGCCATGTTGTATCAGCATTTTGTTGTGACGAACATGATTGTATGACTCATCACCTCGCAAGATGACCCCCTAGTTTTGGCAAGCAGGCTTCTCGTTCGGTGCCCAGGCTTACCAAAAGGTGACGTTTCGGTCCTCCAAAGGTCGGAGCCAGCCCATTCATTCAAGTCCCAAGCTTGGTTGGCAGCTGAATCCCCGACGGGGCAATGCTGCTCAAGCAGGTGCGCGCCAAGGCGAACCCAAGCCCTTTTTACGAGAATCGCGTGTGCCCATATTCAACAACTGGGAATGACCCCGTTCTTGGGGTGCAAAAACCTGGGTGACTGGGTCGGATGGCGAGGGAAGAGAATCAAGCCCAAATCGGTGAGTGACGCACTTTGGTACGCCGCGGCACCGCGTTTGCCGGGAATGTGGCCGCACTTGACTGCACATCCGTTTTGCCACTGTTGCATGCAAGCCAAGTGACTTCTCTCTCGACTCGATCGCCAGCAACTTGGGTGTCAAACGCGTTCAGCTGGGACCTGGGGAATGTTGCACATACACAATAAATTTACAAGGCCTTGCTTGTCTCAAAATGACGTCAAGAATGGAAAGGGCGTGTTCCAGATTCAGCAATCGCAGTTTGGCGTTGGTGTGCGTGGTCTGTTTGACCGTTCTGGTACTGCAGCCGCCCTTAGCATCAAGCTGCAAATCAGATTAACAACTTCAATCGTACAAAGAAACACTCCTAAGGAAGCTGTAACGTATAAATTTAGGAGGTCACAGATGCAGGGCTGTAGTAAGCGCGGCAGGCGATGACACGTCTCCCACAAAGCATCTGTGCAAGGAAGCTCTCGCTTAGCTGGCAGCAGATGGTCCAGTTGGCTCGACTTTGGTCCTATTTTGTATGCGTTTACTGACAGGTACTATTGCTGAGACTCGAAAAGGGCAGGGGCGGTCTGCCACCGGAAATTGGAAACACATCCTCACCCCACAATTCTGAAATATCCTAGCGCCCCGCGGAACCAACCGCTGGCCCGGCATGGCATGTCCTGCTCTCCAACTGCTGCTTCCAAACCCCTGATGCATTTGGTTCGTGACCAGGGCTGTCGATTGGTTCCAGGCCAACACTTGAGAGTCTGAGGTCCCCGGATTTCAGCCCTGAAATTCCCGGGAAGTGGCCTTTTCCGACCCTTAAGCGTCCGGGAAAGCCCTCAACTCAAAACTTTATTCAGGGCTACACTTCAACATTCAGGGTGTAAGGTATCCCTATATAACGTAAACTATTGCAGCCACAATCATTTTGAAACTACTAAGTGGCGGGTTTGCGGAGAGGCGTGGTGGGGGGAAAGCGGTGCAATTATTCAGCCAGTCGATAACATCTCTGACGAGACACGCGAGTGCTCTCACTGACTTGGCGGCAAAAGAAACTGTCTTCCTGCTGGGATGGAATGGGATGGAAGGGAGACGCGAGGAGGGGCGGGGGGAGAGGAGAAGAGCTGTGAACACTTCCGGGTAAGGCCCGGAACTTCCACGGGGAATCAGGGAAAACCCTCAAGTCCCCCTGTAAGAATCAGGGGAAAGCCCTACCCACGCCCGTTATAATTCAGGGCTGTACAGAAAACCAACCCTGAGAATTCGGAACCTGGAGCAAAGTCAGACCTTAATGTTCAGGGCATTAAGGCCATAAGCCCTTGAATCGACAGCCCTGTTCGTGACCACCCGCCAACGAATACTGGTGAAACTCACCGACACTCTTGCCATCCGAATCTGTCAGAGAAGCAGGTGTGCATGAACCTGTAGGTAGTTCTGTATGTAGTGTACCCTAAATCCGAATCTGTATGAACCTGTAGGTAGTTCTGCATGTAGTGTACCCTAAGTCCATGCCTCCCTGTGTTTAGGGTTGATGCCTCCCTGACCGGATGCATGCCCGAGTGGGTTTTATTTTGTTTGCCCGCGGGCAGAGAGCTCCCCCGGGCGGACTCGCTTGTCCGCTGAGATATATTCGGAGAAAAGGGCGGTGTTGTCCGTAGATCTCAGGCGTTGATGAAAACTCACGAGGCTTGAGCAGTCCGAATATTGTCTTTTCCTACCTCATCCTCCTGCCCGTGCTTGCTCCCCCCCGCCTTCCTACCTCATCCTTCCTCCACACCTGTCCTTCCCCAGCATCCCTCAACTCCAACTTCCGCCATCCATCTTCCGCCAAGCAATCACACCAGCCACTGTCCAATCTCTAGGTTTATTGAAAAACCCATTTCCTTGCCGCTCTGACTTCAAGCCCAACCAAAATCGTTGTTGCACTTGGAAAAAAGAGACAGAAGACAGCACACCAACACATCACAGCTATGCAACCCCTATCTTATTCATGCACCTCCGCTCCTTCGCTTCGGAGTAGTGATTGGTTCTGAAGTTCACGCACAAGCACCCGCCAAAACCGTCCATTCTTTGACATCTCCATCAGTCGGACAACGGCATTTTTGAGTTTCTTCGTCTCGGATCATGCTTGTGCTTCAACCTACTACTTAATGACGGCTCCAATCTCAGCTAACGCTGGCATCCGCTATCAAGTACGTTCGGCAGGTCGACATGTTCAGACGAGTTGGCTGATCGATTTGATCAGTAAAGAAAAAATGCTTGATTAAATACTAGTTATCAACAGAGACGAAATTAAGCCTGGTCCCACCGTTTGCAGAAATATGATGCGCTAATACGTGGAATAAACTGGTCGTCCCCTGCTCCATCCCGCTATTTTGCGACCAAACGAGTTTCCGGCTGACAAAAACATTCAACAAGAATTCGTTAGGATCGGGATCCAGTCTCCTGCTTCTGGCCCTCTTATTTTCCGATCGTATGAAACCCAGATCTATACATCGAGTCGCTGCTCTCAAGTCACATCTCAGCAGCCCCCCCCCATCCGTCTCCACGACCATTCCGTGTTTCTCTATAGTACCCTCACCACACTGTCTTTCCCTACCCTTGAAGTGTTGTTTTCTCCTTTTATGTGTATTTCTTCGCACAAAGTTCCTTGATTTGGTCTAGCCCTTTCTTCTATCCACCCTTCCTCCCCCCGGGCCCCACGTTGTGGTGTCATTCAGTTCTTACATGTGTTGGGTAAAAGATCTCCCCTACCATTCCTCCAACGCTGCGCTCCCCCAACCTCCTTCCTATACCCCCCACCCCTCCCCACCCAACCCCCCCCCCCCCCTTTTTTTTTTGTTTTTTCTAGAAGGCTATGTTCCCACATGGGCTTTCCTGCCATTCTCTCCACATTGCCGCTCCTTGATCCCCACCACTACCTACGTTGACAGAAGCCCCCAGGCCTCCACTACCCACTCCTGCCACTGCCTCTTATCATGCCTTTATTCATACCATTTGCCTTTTCTTGACCCCACCAATACCTACGTTGACAGAAGCCCCCAGATCTCTTCTATCCACTCCTGTCGCTCTCATCATGTAATTTTCATGGCATTTGCCTCTTGTCCCCCATCTCTACCTACGTTGACAGAAGCCCAAGGCCTTCACTATCCACTCCTGCCTCTTACATCTCATCATGCCTTTTTCATGCCATTCTCCCCACATTGCCTCTCCTGACCCGCACCTCTACCTACGTCGACAGAAGCCCCAGACCTCCACTATCCACTCCTGCTTCTACCTCTCTCTCTCCACTTCAGAAGCCCCAGACCTCCACTCCATTTTTCATGCCATTCTCCCCACATTGCCTCTCCTTGACCCCCACCACTACCTGCGTCGGCAGAAGCCCCAACCACCCCTGCCTCCATCGGTCATGCTTTCTTAAAGTCACCCCCCTCATCGCCTCGCTCTGACCTAGCTGACAGAAATCTGGCATTCTTTCCTGATGTCATCCCCTCACGTTCGCCTCTCCCCGTGACCTCCACTCCCTGTGTTGACCTCCACTCCCTGTCTTGACCTTTCGCACTGTCTCTCCACGTCCCTATCCATTACCATCGTGGACTGACACCCCATACCTCAGCCAAACACTCCTGGCTCCACCCATAAATTCCTGGCCGGACCATCTTGATGCAGCTCCCCTCGCGCTGTCCCCTCACCCCCAACCGCCATCTATGGTGTCTGAAGTACATCCGTCAACCAATCGCTTCTGTCTCCACATATAGATCCGTTGAATATACCTTCTTGACGCTACTCCCCTCTTTTCTCTCCTCCTCCTCCTCCTCCTCCTCCTCCTCCTCCTCCTCCTCCTCCTCCTCCTCCTCCTCCTCCTCCTCCTCCTCCTCCTCCTCCTCCTCCTCCTCCTCCTCCTCCTCCACTTTAACTGCACAGACCTCCACGTGTGTGTGATGCTGCCTCTCCTCTTCCTTAACAAAGACCTGCGTTGAAGGAAAACCGAGGCCTGCTAATCATTCTGCTTTACTATGCAATCCCCCCCACGTTGTTTCTTCAGTCTTCAACCACTAACTGCCTCGGCAAAAGCCACCGCCCAGCATCAACCCCTCTCGTGCGCCTCACCACCTCTTCCCACTCCGTTTCAAGTATTTCATGCTCGATTACCCCCCCGCATCTTCTCTCCTTCCCATTCATTGTTACTTTTCGCAGAGGTTCTAGAACCCTCCACTTCTTCCTGGCGCAATGGCGGACAACGAAGGGCCTTGGAACAACCAATGGCACTTGCTGCAGCAGAGCCAGCAGCAAGCGGAGGAGCAGCAATGGAAAGGAACGGAGGAGCAGCAGTGGAGGGGAGCGGAGGAGCAGCAATGGCGGCAGGAGGTGCAGCCGCAGTTGTTCGGTCACCTGCTGGGTCATCAGCAATTGGATGGGGATGCTGGGCTGAGGGTAGGAGCAGCCTTGGATGAGCCAACACAGCAGACGCACCAACATCAGCACCCACAGCAGCAGCAACAGCAGCAGCACCACCAACAACAGCAGCAGCAGCAGCAGCAGCAGCAGCACCAGCAGCACCAGCAGCTTCAGCTCCAAGAGCAGCAGCAGCAGCAGCAGTGGTTCTCAAGAAACCCAATGGAGGAGCCAGCAGGAAGTGCCGCTGCAGCCCTGCTCGCATCCGCACCCATTCTGGACCACTCTTTGGATCAATCCCCTTCAAAAGTCCTCAACTTCCTCTCTCAGAATCACAACCACATGGCTGCAGGCGCCTCTGGGTGGGGCTCTTCCCCCTCAGGGGTGATAGAAAGGGGTTCGGGATCCTTAGCGCCAGCAGCTCTAGTGGCACCAGCAGCAGCACGAGCAGCGGCAGCAGCATCAGCATCAAGACCTGCCCTGCCGGCGTTGCCTGCAGTGTCAGCCGCGGCAGCAGCATCGGCATCAGCAGCAGGTGGTGCTGGTGCTGGTACATCAAGAGCATTGGTCGTGCGAGAAGACAACACCAACGCCCTGTCTGTTCATCCCCAGACGTTCATCCCCGCAGCCGGCGGCACCCCCCCGAACCACCTCAAATCCAACTCCGACTCCAAATCCCTCTCCGGAGGCTCGGGAACGGCCCAGCCTGCCGAGCCTGACTCGGTGAACGCGGCGACCAGCGCCAAGCCTGCGTCCAACAGCTGCGGCGGCGACCCGAAGCTGTTCCGGGGCGTGCGGCAGCGGCACGAGGGCCGGTGGGTGGCAGAGATTCGATACCCCAAAAAACGCTCCCGCGTGTGGCTTGGAACCTTCAACACCCCGGAAGAAGCGGCTAGAGCGTACGACCGAGCCGCTGTGAAGCTACGAGGGCCCAAGGCACGGACCAACTTCCCCCACCCGGCCCTGGCGGAATGGCAGCCATTGCCTGGGTATGTTGGGGTGGAGAAGGCGATTACTGAGGCGAGAGAGAGGGGTGGGGGGGATGTGGGTGCGGCAGGGGTGGCTGGGCGGGTTCAGGGGTCAGGGTTTAACGCTGCTGGGAGCTCTGCAGGCGGCCAGGGGAGGCAGGTTCAGGTGGTGGTGTCGGGGGGGGATAGTGGTGCGGGAGGGGGGTTGGTGGGTGGTGGGGTGGCAGGGGGGATTGCCGGGGGACAGTCAGGGGTAGGTGCGGGTGTGGGGGGTGGTGGGTCGTTCGGTGGGTTATTGGAAGGGCCGGGAGGAGGCGGTAGCGGTGATGGTGGTATAGTTGGTGGCGGTGTTGGTGGTGGTATTGGTGGGGGGGTGAGGGGGCATGTGGGTGGGCTAGATGTCAGCACTTTGCAGCAGCTGCAGTCGCTTGGGATTCCTCCTGCTGTTGTGGGTGCTTTGCAGCAGCAACACCAGTTGCAGCAGCAGCAGCAGTTACAGCAGCAGCAGCATCAGCAACAGCAGCAGCAGTTACAGCAGCAGCAGCATCAGCAACAGCAGCAGCAGTTACAGCAGCAGCAGCATCAGCAACAGCAGCAGCAGTTACAGCAGCAGCAGCATCAGCAACAGCAGCAGCAGCAGCAGCAGCAGCAGCTGCAGCAGCAGATTATGGGTGCATTGGGTAACCAGGGAGAAGCATCTGGAGCAGCAGGAGCAGGAGCAGGCGGAGGAAGCGCAGCAGCAAACCTAGGACCATCGTCATCAGCAGCAACAGGAGCAACTGCAGCAGCGGCAGGACCAGCCATTCAGAGAGCCCTTTTGGAGCTGCTGGTAGCAAATGCAGGTGGGGTAGGCGGGGCGGGTGGTGGTGGGGCGGGCAGTGATGTGTCGGAGCGGATTCTCCTGCTGTCGCTGCAGCGGCAGCTCGAAGCCCAGCAGCGCCAGCAGATGCTGCAGGCCCTAGCGCAGGCGCAGGGGCAGGTGGGGCAGGGGGCCCAGGGAGGGGGCTTGGGGCAGGGCCAGGGGGAGAGCTTGGGGCAGGCGGGAGGCGGGGGGCAGGGGCACGGGGGAGGAATGGGGCAAGGAGGCATAGGGCAGAGGGAATTGGGGCAGCAGCAAATGTTTGGGCAGCAGCAAGGACTCGGACAGGAGATTTCCGGGCATGCTAAGATGCAACTGCAGGGTTTCGGGCAGGCAAGTTCTATTCTACAGGGGCTTGTACAGGGGCAAGGGCAGGGGCAGGTGCAGGTGCAAGGGCAGGGGCATGGGCAAGGGCAGAGAGTAGGGCAGTTGGAGAATCAGGGGAAGAGAGCTAGAAGGGGGGATTCGAACGGATCTGAAGAGTCGTCAACCGGAGTCAGTGGTTCTGGCAGTGCTGCTAAGGGCGCTGCTGCTGGTACTAGTAGTGTTGGTGGCGGTGGTGCTGGCGGTGGTGGTGGCGGCGGCGGTGGTGGTGGTGGTGCAGCTAGTGTGGGGAATGTAGCAGCTGCAGCAGCAGGGTTATCCACTGGAGCGTGGTCTGGTGGAGGGCTTTCTGGGGGAGGTGGCAACTGGCAAGGTGGAGGTGGGAATCCGGCTATGCTGCAACAGCTTTCCAGCCAGACGTTTGCTCCTACTGCTGGCTCTTTGGGAGTTCTGCAGCAACAACATCAACAGCAGCATCAGCTGCACCAGCAATCCCCGAGGCAACGGGTGCAGAACCAGCAGCAATTACAGGGTCAGCAGCAGGGGCAGAGTCAAGTGGCTTCCCAGCATCAGCAGTTGACTGAATCGCACCTGGTGCAGGCAAGTCAGCAGTTGCAGCTGCAGCAAAACTCGTTTCTGAGCCAGCAGCAACAACAACACCAGAAACCGCCGCAGCAACAGCAACAGCAACAGCAACAGCAACAGCAACAGCAGCAGCAGCAGCCGCGGCAGCAACAACAACAACAGCAGCAGCAGCAGCACCAGCAACAGCAGCAGCAGTTGCAACAGTTGCAGCTGGCGCAGCTGCTGCAGCTGCAGCAGCAACTGCCGCAGAGTGAGCAGAATCAACAGCAGCACCAGCTGCTAGCAGCGTTCCTGCAGCAGCACGGAAGCAGCACGTTTGGTGGCAGCAGCAATGCTGGTGGTGATGGTGGTGCAGGTGTTGGTGGTGCTGGTGCTGCTGGTGCTGGTGGCAACGGGGGGGCGATCATGGATCAGTTGTTTCTGCAGCAGGCGAGACCAAAATAACTTCTAAGCCGCCTCAGAAGCAGCACGGAAGCAGCAGCATTGGTGATGGTGGTGGTGATTTTGGTGCTCCTGCGGCTGCTGGCACTGCTGGTGGCAACGGGGGTGGCATCATGCATCAGTTGTGTCTGCAGCAGGCGAGACCAGAAAAAACGGCCCGTTCATCCATTCACCCACCCTCATCGCTAGCGTTCGTCGTACGTCCCTCTTCCGCTCCCTTCCTTAACTCCCTAACCGTTCGCATCACAGGCAGCTCACACCCCCGTAGCTCTCTCTCTCTCTCTCTCTCTCTCTCTCTCTCTCTCTCTCTCTCTCTCTCTCTCTCTCTCTCTCTGGCAGCGAGTTCACCATGCTCTTGAGTCCACCGCTCAGTCCTTCAAGAATTTTAAGGCGCCTAAAAAAGCCGCACACCTTCCTAGCTCTCTCTTGCTGCAGCGTGTTCCATCACACCAGAGTCTCAGTGCTGACGAGTCCACCGCCTCAGTCCTTTCAGGGCCCTCCAGCTGGACCTATCAAAGCTGCTGAGCCGTCCCCACACCATAGTGCCCTCCGGCTGGACACATCACAGCTTCGTCTCACTGCAGCATGCTTACCAGAATGCTTTTAAGTCTGCTCCAGAGCAGGGGCACGTCCCTATCTTACCAGAGCAGAGCACGGTACGAGGCACCCTCCCTGCTCCAGCAAAACAGGTGTGAAGAGCCTTTCTGAGGCACCTCAGGATTCGTCCTTGAGAAAAAAAGGTGCGAGGAGCCTGGAATAAGGGCCTTTGCTTGTGCTGATCAATGTAAAGCTGTGGATGAATGTAAAGGAGATAGTCAATGGAAAGCGGCTGATCAATGCGAAAGGGGGTTTGTAGCAAAGGGGACGAGCAATGCACAGCAGATGATAGACGAAAAGGAGGACGAGTGGTGATGGGAATTCCAAAAGCTACCTGCGGAAGCTAATGGGTTTGTGCCAGTCGATAGGGGATGAGACAGGGTGGGATGGGATGGGACGAGGTGGGATGCGATGGGATGGGATGGGACGGGAGGTTTTTGGGATGGAATGAGATGGAGAAGGGCGGAATGGGACGAAGGGGGTGGGGAAGGGAGGCTCGCAACCTCGTGTGCCTGAAAGGAGTTGAAAGGAGTTGAGCGGAGAATTCATCAACGGCTGTGAGCTGAAGGGAGTCGCAGCTGCGAGGTGAGAGCTGCACCTGCTGTGTCTTTTGAGCCGCACCTCTTGAGAGAAGAGAGTTAAGTGAATTAGTCATGGAAGGTGTGTCATTCAGTAGTGACTTCAACTTTGCGTGCCTGAGAGGGGAGTATCCTAACAAGAGCTCAGAGCTGCTGCACCTGCCGTGCAAGCACGGTGTGCACAAGATCCCTCAGCAGCTTGTTCGGGTTATCCACGCAGAGTGCCCGGAAATTCGTTAACTGCGTGCCTGAGAATCCCATAACTGTGAGCCTGAAAAATGGCTGCACCAGACTAACACACTGACTCTAGCATCCATGTGAACAGGCAGTTTCGCAGGATGATCTAACAGGGTGGCTTCACGGGGGAGCAGGATTTGAGGCGGCTCAACAGTCACAGCTGGTACAAGAAACTGTTATGGGAGCAGCGTTTGAGGCGCCTCAAATGTCACTGAACAGGAACGGGAAAGAGGTGGTTGTGGGAGCAGGTGGAGGGAACGGGAACGGGAACGGGAACGGGAACGGGATGACTGACACTCGTGGGCAGGGGCTCAAATAGGAGCTGTGCAGGCTACCAGGAAGGAGGGAGTGGGGCGAGGAGGCTGAGTGTAATCACTTTTGAGAATTCTCAGAAGTGGGGCGAGCAGGGTGCTACAGCAGCAGGAGCTGGGCGAGCAGGTGGCTGCATTGACTGGAGTGGGGCGAGCAGAAACCAGGGTGATCTTTCAGTGGACTGAAAAAAAAGGGCTCGTTGCGTTTGAGGGGCACAAGCCCAGGTAGGAGCTAAGTTAAGGGGTAAGCAGTAGTGAAGTGAGCGTCACAGAGTGAGTAGTGGTGGGAGAATAAGGCGCGGATCCAGAACAGGGGAGGCAGAGACGTGGGGACCAGAGGCAGAGGCAACCATGGGGATAGGCGAGCAGGGGCAGGAGGCGAGCAGTAAACAGGAGACAAGCAGAGGCAGCAGAGGCAGAAGGAAAGCTGACGCAGCAGTGGCAGGAGGCACGCGTGGTGGAGAGTGGTGGAAATGGGTGATGGAGGAGGGAGGTGGATGAGGGTGACGGAGGAGGGTGGTGTAGGAGGGTGGAGGAGTGGTGGACAGTAGGAGGAGCTTAGCTAACAGCTTAGCTGCTGTATCAGGAGTGTGAATGCGCTAGGCTCTTTGGTAGGTGCTAGGCTTTCTGCTGGGTGCTGTGGTTAACGGATGCAGTGAGTGTGAAGCAGCGTAGATCTGTGTGTGTGGGAGATCTGGAACACTAACTGATAGGAATTAGTGCATTCTTTTAATGCTATTTGTCAGAATACTGAACGAGAATGAATGCATTGAGCAGAAAGTTGGGTACAAGTACTAACCCTAATTGGGTTGTACCCCTTATGGGCTACCCCATTACACCCTACACAAATGTAAGCACTATAACATTCTGACACACCCCCATAGGCAAAGTGGGGGAGAACAAGTGGTCACAAGACCAGTCAAGAAAAGCAAAGCAAGCTCAGGGTGGATCATGAAGTCACCACACATTCTGAGCACAAGCAAATGGCCACAAGGCTAGTTCACATGCAGAGTTATATAAAAGAGAACAAACAGTACAGCAATCATACCCTAGCAAGTGTAAGCATGCATGTATATATATAGATCACAGTACAAGCAAAGTCACGCAGTGAGCAAGTGAGGCAAAGTAGGCACAAGGCCTAAAACAGTACAGAAACGCTGATGATCACCAGACTGAAGTGCCTTGGTGAATATATCAGCAGTGTTTGCCCGAGTGGCCACGTAGGCAAGACGAAGCTGACCACGCTGCTGCAGCTCTCGAGCAAGGAAGTAACGCAGAGCGATGTGCTTCGTTCTATGCTCCAGTCTGTGCTCCGGACACAAGACAATCATGGCCTTGTTGTCTATGTACAAAACTGGAGAAGAACGAGGCCGCTCTTCCAAGTCGGTCAGCAGGTAGGTGAGCCAGCGTAACTCCTGTGCAGCCATGGCCCCTGCGTAGATCTCAGCCTCACAAATGGAACTGAGAACAGAAGACGAGCGGGTAGACCGCCAAGAAACAAAGCCGGAGCCAAGGCTAAAAGTGTAACCCTGTGACGACCGCTGCGTAGCCAAGTCGTCAACCCAAGAAGCGTCTGCGTGTCCAGTGAGGACAACTGGACCCTGTCCTCCAAGCACGAGCCCCATGCCCAATGTACTGCACAAGTAGCGCAACACCTTCTTAGCGGCCTCCCAGTGCTCTGGTCGGTGTCTCCCGGCGCAACGTAGCGTGCCAGGATGCTAAGAGGGTAGGCAAGGTCAGGTCGAGTGCAGGTCAAGTGCAGGTCATCAGGTACATGAGGCAGCCCACAAGCTCTGGATACGGGCCACTCGGCTCTACGGACTCGTCCGAAGGTGGAGCTGAGAGCGAGTGACCGGTAGGCAGAGGAGTGGACTTTGGCGAGGAGTACTGGAAGCCGAAGCGCTGAAGGACCTGGTGCACCATGTGTGACTAAGTTAGGGTGATGGTGCGCCGTGCTCTGTCCCGGGTGATCTGCAAGCCAAGATAGCTGCGCAGCTCACCCAGATCAGTGCAGGTGTGTCTCTTCTATAGCCCGGACTTCACAAGGGCCAGTGCCTCATTGTCAGCAATGGCAAAGACCAAGTCGTCGACGTACACAAGGACGTAGAACGACGGCAGCGAAGTGTCGGTGCGCAGAAACAGCGACGGGTCAGCAGTCGAAGGAGCAAACCCAAGAGCTGCAAGTGTCATCCTCAGTGTGTCGTGCCACTCGCGAGGCGCCTGGCGAAGACCGTAGACTGGCCGCCGGAGGCTCCACTGGGTACCTGCAGGAAACGACCCAGTTAAGCCAGGTGGACGGCGCAGCGAGATCTCCTCGTGCATGCTGCCCTGTAAGAAAGCTGTGCTGAAGTCAAGAGAGTGCAGCTCGTAGTCACGCTGAGCGGCAACGTGCAGCAGAACCCGAAGAGTGGTCATCTTCGGGGTAGGGGAGAAGGTCTGGAAGAAGTCAACTCCCTGTCGCTGACTGAAGCCTCGTACAACGTAACGAGCCTTGAAGACATGCGGAGAACCCGGCGGCCGCTTCACCCTGAAAATCCACATGCCATCGACTATGTTCGCTCCAGAAGGGGGAACTGCATCGACGTAGGTGCCTGTGGACTTCCAGGATGCCATCTCTACGTCCATGGCTGTCTGCCACTGAGAGGAGTAGGGACCCGTAATCGCCTCTGCGTAAGAGCGCGGGGTCGGGATGTCTGGTGCATCCGGGTCTCCCTCAGGTGCAAGCACAATGGCCACGAGATGAGGTACAGCAGCTGCAAGACAGTGAAAGTCCTCCTGCCTGTCCTCAAGGACGTACGTGCCAAGAGCACACTCACCCCCGACGGACGGAGGCCAGTCAGACTCAGACTCAGCAACAAGACTAGTGGCGTAGTCGAGACGACAGGCGGCAGCAAAGTCAACAAGCTCAGCAACTAGGGCAGACGCAGCAGTGGACTCAAACGAAGGGTCAGTGACAACAGTGGCCAGAAGACGAGGGACAGTAGGACTGGCGGCACGAGCTAAGTCAGACTCAGGGTTAGGAATGGCAGGAAGAGAGGACGAAGGAGGAGACGGCAGGGGAACTCGTAGTGGAACAGAGGAAGGACTAAGTGACATAATGTGAGTGCCGGGAACAGGAGGAGGACGCGGACGAGGAACACGACGACTAGTGCGAACAACGGGAACAGGCGAGGCAGGACGAGACTAAGGCTCACGACGCTCTGTAAAAGAGTCTGTCTACTTAGCGTAAGGAGACGGAGCAGGCAGTGGCGAGTCTGGCTGTAACTGTGGGTGCGAGTGGTGAGGCGGTGGACTCAGTAAGCTAGTAGGAAGGCCAGTAGAAGACAGGAGACTAAGAACCTGGCGAAGGACCGAGTCAGGTGGCGGCAGGGAGGACGGTGGCGGCGGAAAGAAAAACGGTCGCCGCTGCACAGTACCTCCAGCACCAGCACCGCCAGCTCCAGCACCCCCAGCGCCAGCGTCTCCAGCTCCAGTGCCTCTAGCTCCAGGGTCTCCAGCTCCAG